TACTTTTTTATAATCAATCAATGTAATTTAATCACAGAAAAGTATAAACTATAATAAATATCTGCAGTTTAAATAAAAATATCATAATAAAGAAATTCGTAAATAAAAAAATTTTTTTTCTGAAAACATCTGTGTTTCAATAATTAAATTAATAAATTGAAGAATCAATTTAAAAACACGCTTAAATTTGAAAATGTGTTTTATATCAAAACACTATCTTAAACGCATTTTAATTTTATTATTTTATTGTGTTTTATTGTATTAAATTTAAAAATGCCACCTCTTTTTAAGCAAAAGTGAAAATCAATAAATCAAAATCACATTGTAAACAGTAAATATAATATTAAAAAAGCCCGATATTAAAGTATAGATAACCACTAAAGATAATCTGAATTCTTGATTTTGGTCAATAATAGTAAAAAAAAATAATAAAAGTAATGCTAGTTATTATGGCACAGTTACTGCAATTATTACAGGTGATTCATTTGGTCCTTCTAATGATAGTTAGTTTGGTCCTTCTAGTGATAGTTTGTTTGGTCCTCCTGGTGATAGTTCATTTGGTCCTCCTAGTGATAGTTTGTTTGGTCCTTCTGGTAATGGTTCATTTGATTCTCCTGGTGATAGTTCATTTGGTCCTTCTAGTAATGGTTCATTTGGTTTTTCTGATAATAGTTCATTTGATGATGGTTTGTTCAGTCCTCCTGATAATAATAGTTCATTAATAATGGCAGTTCATTTGGTATTTTTATACTTTTAATAATGATGAAATAACTGGTAACAAGATAAATTTAGAATCTCATAATGAAGAATTTGGTGAAGAAGAATGAGATGATGACGAAGACAGTAGTTAAGATGATGATGATGATACTGAGAAGATATAAAGCCTAAAAAATAAAGACCTTAAATTAATATGAAAGAAAGATAGTAAACTAGAAAAGACAAAACATGATCGATACATGACAGGAAAAACTCCAAGATCAAGTTATTATAAAAATATGGACTGACTGGTTTATTTATCAAAGCAGCTGTTAATACTAAAAAAATCACAAATTTTTTTAAAATTAGTGATCAAGTTGCAAATATACAACTTAATGAAATAGAACAAATTTTAAGCGATTTAGAAGATGAAGTTAATAATAGAAATACTTACCAATTGATAAAAAAATATGAAATCTAAAAGAATAATTAGAAAAGTAATATAATCAAATGACTGTTACTAATATAATAATAAACGAGCTGTCTTTGAATATCTTACCTGCTTAAATAATGGAAAAATGCATGCTAGTTTAGAAGCAGCTAAAATAATTTTTGTTGATGATAGTCTATGAAAAGTACGACATATCTGATATTATGCAAACTATTAGTTATTTAATAATAAATTTTCGGTATCTAGACGTGAAAAACATCAAAAACTATTAGATTGATTGATGATAAAGATATAGCTGAAAAATACTGAACCTGGATTCATAAGCAAAATTTTAAAGTCACGTCAACTACATTTAAAGAATTTGTTGAAAAAGAGCTATTATCTAATATTGGAATTACTAAGAGAAAATCTATTTTTTTAATGATTGTAATGAGATAGCTTAATATCCTTGGTTATTTCTTTCAAAAACATCATCAAAGTATATATTATGATAGACATAAATGAGATGATGTTTTATAATATCGTGAAGCATTTTTGAAAAAAATGTTTGAATATGAGAAATATATGTTCAAGTATGAAGGTAAAACAATGAAACATATATATCCTAATTTGCCTGAAGGAGAAAAAGAACAAATTCTTGTAACTTATGATGAATGCATTTTTATTCTAATGATGGCAAATGTGAAGTATGAGCTAAAAATGAAGAACTACCATTATAAAAAAAGTAAATGAAAGATCTATAATAGTTAGTGAGTTTTTTACTGAAATTGATGGACGTTTGTATTTACAACAAACTAATATATTGCAAAATCCAAATATATCTGAAGAAGCGTGGTGTTATTTAAAACCTGGTAAAATCAAGAAGATTATTAGACAGCTGAACACCTTTTTAAATAAATCAAATGTAAAGCCATTCCTATTTTTGAGACGTTATATTCAAATTGTATAGCAGTATTTGTCTTTAATAATAGTTCAAATCATGCTGCATTTAGAAAAGATGCTCTAGTTGCAAGCTGAATGAATTTAAATCCTGGTGGCAAACAACTGATTATATATAATACTTATTTTGGACCAAATCAACAGCCACAATCAATGATATTTTCAGCTACTCATTTTAATAAAAAACTTTGAGGTCAACTTAAAGGAATCAAATAAGTATTAATAGAGCAAGAAAAATAGTTATCTAAAGGATTATTATTAGAATGTAAAAATTGTAAAGAAAAATTCAAGATTCTTCAAGAACTTCTTATCGAGTAATATCTTTAGAATCTGATTTTCTTGCACAAAAAGGAGTAATTGAAGAATTAATTGAAAAAGCTGATCATAAATATATTTTTTACCATAAATTTCATTGTGAACTAAATTTTATTGAAAGATATTGGGAAGTTTGTAAAAGATATACTAGAGAAAATTGCAATTATTTATAGAATGAATTACAGCAAGTAGTACCTAAAAGATTTAATTCTGTACTATTAGTTATGATTAGAAAATTTGCAAGAAAGTGCTGGCGTTATATGGATGCTTATAAAAAAAGTATTAGTGAAAAATTGGTAGAGTATGCTATCAAGAAATACAAATCTCATAGAAGAAGTCCAGATAGTGTTTTAGAAGAATTAAATAAAATTAAAATTAATTAGATAATTATCATTTAATCAATAAAAATTGATTCATATGATTAAGTCACGTGAAGATTGATAAAAAAATTTCAGACTCCTTGATGAGTATAGATATTTTGCATTATAATATGGTTTGTATCACAATAAGCTATTTAATAAATTTATCGAACTTAAAAATAAAATAAAAATTTTTTTAGTGCCTATATTTAAAATATTTCAATATAGTTCGATTGATATTAGCTGGTATTATAAAATGATATTAAAATTACTCTGATCAGAAAATCTAAATCAAAAGTTATTAACTGATAAAGTTTAAGTATTTTCTTAAGCGGAAACAGATTTGAAACATATAACTCTGATCAGAATTATGTTTAATGTAGGTCACTTATGTAAATAATTTAGATTGCATGCGTATGTTGATTAATTAATCTTTTTTTTTCTTACTAATGAGATGCCTAAAATAACGAACTCAACAGTATCAAAAAATAGCAAAGAAAAGAGAACTTCAAACTGCAAAAAATAATGACGATACCTATTTTAATGACAATTTAGGTTTAGATGATGAAGTTAGCATAGATGATAAAGTTAAATGGACTGATAAGAATGAGATGAAACAGCTTTTTTTAGTTCTAATTAAAAATATGAAAGCATTAAAACATTTCAAATGTCTATTAGTAAATGTAGAAAACTCACAAACAACAAAATACTGAAAAAAAATCCAAACAATAAAAAATCAAAAGAAAAATAAGCAAATACTCTATCAACTATTAAATAATAAAAATAATATTTATGGTGGTTTTCTGACAATAATTTTGATAGTGGTTCTTCTAGTGATGATTCTTTTGGTAGTTTCTCTGGTAGTAGTTCTTTTAGTGATTCCTCTGGTGATGGTTCTTCTAGTGGTTCTGGTGGTAGTTCTAAATCTGATAATATTAATAAAAATGCATTAATTAATAAAATTAAAAATAAACTAAAACTTGAAAGTGAACATTTAACTTCAGGATATAAGTTGCGATTTATAGTCATTTAACATTATTTACAACTCCTTAATAAAGGGCACGCGAAATTAGAAGCAAGTCAGATTATTGCAGACCTATTAAATTAAGGAATATGGTTTGCTCATTGTGTTATAAGTTAGACTAAAGCATTTATTGAATATAGTGATGTTCTTAATAGTAATCGTGAAAAATATCTTAGTAAACATATTATTAATGATGAAGATATTCAATTAAAAGTAATATCATACTTACAACAACATAAATTTGATATTACCATTTACAGTTTTTGTGATTATATTGCCAATGAAATTTTGCCTTCTATTGGTATAAAAGAAAAAGCTAAAATCAGATATTTGTTTTATTGTATTTATATTTTATAAATTATTTTATTTAATACATATTTTACTAAAAATCTTTATATTTTATAGCAAATCCACAGCAATTCGATGGTTAAAGAAAATGGTATTTATTTTTAGTCAATATACAAAAGAAATGTATATTGATGGTCACATAGAACTGTTCCAGATTTTGTTTTTGAAAATATTGATGAATTAATAAAATAAAGTTTTTCTTTCAGTTTAAACTTTAATCTTAAATTTATTAAATTATATTATCATGTGATATAAATTTTAGCCAATCACAAATCAGTATTATGTTTATCACGTGATAATATAAATTTTTGAAATTTGAAGTTCTTATGTTGAATATAATTTTTATCAGCTTTTAGCGGAAAAACGCGTTACAAATTACAATGGATACTTACTGTGCTTATTTCAAAGAAACGACACCTGATAAATATCGTTTCTTGGATTTTTACCAATACCGCAGTAAACAAGAAGATTTTACCTTCTCCTTTAAAAAGGAAGCTGACAAACTTCTGAAGGATTTAAAGCTTATATTGGAAATTGGCTCGGAAGAGATCAAGAAAGGTGCTATCAAGCTGAAGCAAAATTTCGAGGTAATTTTTATTATTTTTGTTGAAAAGGCAGTATGGGAGACTTCCAGTAGTCCCGAGAAGGGGTAAAACTCACACAATTACGGTGGGCATCTGCTTGTTGCCTGCTTTATGGTCTGCTTGTCCGTTGTGGTCTGCTATGCAGTATGGGAGACTTCCAGTAGTCCCGAGAAGGGGTAAAACTCACACAACTACGGTGGGCATCTGCTTGTTGCCCGCTTTATGGTCTGCTCGTCCGTTGTGGTCTGCTTGATCCGTTACATCTATCCTACATAAATATATTTTGCTATAATTGTCATATTAACTATACGATAAAGATGTTGGAGCGTTTTGGAGTAAACTTGAAAACGATCTTGCCGATTTAGCAATCGAATCCAAAAGACAAGAATTACGTTTAGCTGAGGTTAGTTTTCTAAATGTTATCTCAGCTTGTATTTCCATATTAACTTTGATTTCTGATTTCATAGATAGGTGCAGCCTGTTCCGTGATGAAAAATACTACAACGGTCCTTCAAACTGCTATTGGTAGGGTTGACACAACACTGGTAAGGACTGTGATCTTGATTGCCCGATAGAGATAATGATTGAGTTTAACTTTTTTCTTTTTGTAGTCCGATGCCACATATTATACGCCGACACATGTGCCGGTGCGTCATAATTTACCAACGGAATTACTGGAAGAGAAAGTGATCTATGAAACTCCCGTATATAGGCAATTTGAACCGAGTCCCTTCATTTCCTATTCACAAGGCAGAAAACATGAGCGTGAGCCTGAAGAGGAAGACGATACTGAAGAAGAATACAATGCGGACGAAACCATTATTGGAGGGGGGAATGTTTCTTGGGTTGTTAATGATCATGATATTCGAAAAAAGTTAACATAATATCAACTGGAAAGAAATCCACCGAAATCAAAACCCGAGTGTTATGACGTAATTTTCTTCAATGCCAAAGACAAAAATGGTTTTCTAGAGACACTAGAAAAAGATACGGTTCAACAAATGCTTAAAGATATAAGCGAGGAAGAAAAAGAAACGCAAAATGAACAGGAGATCAAATCGTTATTAAGTAAAATTATTGTGCGTGATATTAACAAGGCTAAAAATGCACTTCAACAATATAAAAATTGCAATAATTCTTTTGAAAGAATTTTCACACTGAATTTCGTAGACCACATGTGAGCCTTTATTTATTTACATTTGTTTTTAATTCTAATGAAACAAGACTAACTAGTATTATTTTACAGGATAAAGTTGATTGAAGGGACAAATTTGCTTTTAGAACCGATATCCGAGGGAACCTACATCGTTAGTGTTCTAGGTCCAATCTTGGATCAAATTTTTATAAAACATAAAGGGAATTGGCGTACAAAATACGGGGAGACTTGCCTTAAGGCAAGCGCTAAAGAATGTAACGCTCAAAAGGAGGATGATAACCGCAGGTCTCCCGGAAAAAAAATAGACGCAATCATTACTCTGAAAGAGGAAGACGAAGAATTTTCTGTCATTGAAGTCAGTGGGCCTCCGTTAAAATCAGATTGGACTCATTTCAAAGGAGATCGAATGAAGATCGTAAAAATGCTGAAGACATTAATGAATCGACTGGCAGAGCTTCGCCCGAATTCAAATATTAGAATGCTTAAACTTTACGCCATGCAATCGTATTGTGAGTCCTTATTTGTGTTTGATCGCCTTCTATTTTTACATTATTAACCCTTTAACTCTCGACATTTACAGTAAATCAGTTGACTATCTATGAATTCCGTCTCAAATATGCTGAAGTGTACACAATGGTGGAAGTATTGAAAATTCCCTTTCCGAAATCATGGAAAGATATGAAAGAGTCATATGAAATAGTGACGGGTCTTTTAAAATATGAGGTTTGTATAAATGATTAGAAAAGCATATATAAGTGTGAAACTGACATTTCCATAATTAGCGTTTATTATCCGAAAGTTCGGAATCCATTCAAGATTTTCTGTGGAGTGATGATAATGAGAGCAAGACCTGTCAAAAAATGACCACACGAATCATCTATTCACAGCGCGAACTCGTTAAAGCTTTTAGTTCCATTTTTTTGCAAATTCATCTCTTTCGATTTTCAGGGCTTGATTAGTGTATATTAGGCTGAACCAATTTGATTATCTATTTTACTTTAGTTGTTTATAAAAATTCAGGGGAGGGATAAAAAAAAAATTTTATGAAACCACGTGACTTTTATATATAAGTCACATGCAACCAATTTATTATTATTATTATTATTATTGTATAACGAAAAAAAAACTAATCAACATGATTGACCTTTTGCTTTTTCCTACTATTAACCTTATTTTCCAACCGCTTATAAAATGTTTTCCCATTTTCATTACAACTACTACATAATGGATATATTAACTTAAAATTTTCTTGTAAATTTTGAGGCACAGTTACAAAGTCATTATTCGCACCACACCAATAGCAGATAGGAATATTTCCTGCTTTTTTTGAGGTATAATAAAGCAATTCAATAGGCGAATCACAGGAAATTTGAACTCTAACAAAAACCTTTTGTGCTAAACTATGATCATCCGGAAAAAATTGGGGATCCACAGGAATATGTGTAAGTTTGTAGCGCAGATTCTAAATCTTGTTTTTCTTGTTCTGTTAATTTTAATTCACTATAAAGGTATCATGTTTTTCCACATGACTTACATTTTATATAACCCCTGATTTTGGCAGAAATGAGAATAAACTTGGTGCCAGCTCAGCTTTAGAATTTAAATTAATTAAAGAAGGATGGAATTTTTCTGTTGTAAGTTTGTCATATAAATTTGCAAATGTTTCATAATGATCAGGATTATCTATTTAAAAGTAATATTTTAATAATATTTTAGTAATATTTTATTGTTAAATATAAAATATCACAAAGAATATCTTTTGATGGTATTGGATCAGGCAAAAAATATAAATTCTGAAAGACATCAATTGGCATTCTGATGGGATAACAAACTTCACAGGAAGGTTGATTACATTTTTTAATCTAAAAAAATCTGGAAATATAAATATTTAAAATAAAACATTTTACATAAGGTAATTTATTATCTGAAATGAATATGCTCTTTCTTGATAATGAGTTTTAATAAATTTTATTAAAGGTTTATGTTTTTGCAATTGTTGTTGAGTAGTTTTATCTTTAGTTAATATGGAATCAATTTACAATATGTTCTTAGTTTATATAATAAATAAATTAAAAGTTATTAAAATAAAATATAAAATATCAGCCTGATTTAATTTATAAAAAAAAAATATTACCTTAAACATCTTGTCAATTTCTAAATTAGATGTAGGATTTTCTATTTCAAATGCTTCATTTTTCCAAACCAAATGTTCTGTACGTTCACAAAGCAATTTTTGAACTATTACAATACATTTTCTAATTCTGATTTTAAGCATAGATTCTCTTTTGCTTTTCCTTGTATATCTTCTAATGCCTTTAGAGTTTTAAATTCATCTTCATATTCCTTGGGCATTAGTTCTCTCTTTATAGCAACACCTTGAAGTCCATAATTTATTACACTTATAATTCTTTCCGTAGGATTATACCAGCTGTGATGTGGAGCTGTTCTAACTGCAATTAGTATCTCAAAATTACCTGCTAAAAACAAACATATTAGCACTACTTAAACTGATCCAAAGGTACATCTGTGATTAGGACCCCTGTCAGTATAGAGTGATAATATTGAAGGCAAGGGTTAATTACGATACTGATGATTTATGAGATTAAAAAATTTTGTTGAATGCCTTAATGCGCTACTTGGTTAAAATACGGTATCTTTAAAGCTGACACACACTTTTCCATCATAAAAAGATTCAGATATATCACATGGTATATTAATAAATAAAGTAACAGATAGCATTAATGACAACTTTGTGAAGTCATAATCTGTGGCTGTAATTTTTCCTTTGGCTGGTGTTAAAGTCTTTTTATTACAAACATCTATAGATACTGATACATTCTCGCTAATAGACACTTTATGTTTATCGTCTGCTGAGATAAAACATGTATAATCTTGATATTTGATATTGAATTCATGTTCATATTTAAATAAAGTGTGACAATAATGTTCATCTTCACTAGATTTTCATAATAATCGTGATTGCATCTTGTATTTTACATTAAAATACCCAATATATTGTAAAACCTTGGTAGTATATGCGTTAAATATGCGTTAAATAGTGCAAAATTTAATCTTATTTACTCTTCTGATAGAATAAAAATATCACTTAGTAGAGGAGGTTCTTGATATATTACATTCAAGTGAGTAATGATTTTATTTTGTAATTCTCAAATAGATATAGCATATGGAATATATAGAGCAGCACCTATCTGACGTTCATTAACAACTATATTATTGTGCTAAAATATAAATAAAAAAATAATTTTATTATTAGAAATTTTAGAAAATACAAATTAGAAATTATTTAATAACCTTATTAAAATATCTGTTAAGTTCATCCCAAAATATATCAAATTTTGATTCTTAAAATCTATTATTAGTCCTTAAATCAATTATTATAGAAGAATCTTTTAATAACATCATAAGATGTAATCTTTCTTTTATCTTTTTGCTTATTTTATTATTTGCCAATGAAGCATTACCAGTTAGATCATGATATAGCATTCTAAATACTGGTTTTGAAAAATTGCAAATTAGAGAATATTAAAAAAAGTTTTGTTGAGTTTTTAATTAACAAAAAATTTTATTGTAAATTGATTATGTTTACCATACCTTTTGAAAAACGTTTTTCTCATTTGTTTTGTACAATATACTGGTATTATATAATTAATGCGAATGATCATCTATGCTTTAAAAGTTTTATAATCTTCATTAATTTCATCAGTATTAGGTTCTCTCCATATAAAATTTAGTGTTCCAAGATAATTACCATGAGGATATCTAAAAAAATAATATTTTTAATAAAATAATTTTTTATAATATAAATTATTCACACGCCAACATATAATTCTTAAATTATAATTTTCTTAAATTTTTAAAAATAAAAAAACTTTACCTATATAATCCTATAGGTATAGATAATTGAATATTATGAATAAAATCATGCTTTTTTATAGGATTATCTGGTACATGTAAATTGAGATCAATAAAATCAAATAATTCTCTGTTCGTGAGATCAGAATCTAAACTATGATATCACTGGTCGAAAAAAAGGCTATTGAGTATATTTTATATACCAGATAATCCTATGATTTATTACCAATATTGCATTGATTGAAATTTGATAAGCTCACATGATTTTAACCTGATGCTTAGTGCAAATTGGATTTAATCAGGTGACTTTCAGGTTAATAAATATTAGATGAATTTAATAGAAATATCAATGCAATTTCAGAAAATCTGATACTATCTCGATATATTCTGATAACTTCATGATATTTCAATAAATCAGATGTTTATATTATATATATCGAAGTCCAATATTATCATAAATTATTTTATTTATTTATTTATTCTTATGTATTTATTTTTATTCATTTTATTTATTTTAATTACAAATAATATTAATTACAATTTATTAATATTGTTACAAATATCACATTCACTATAAATAATTATTGAATATAAACTTATATAGAGAAATAAAGTTAATATAAATTAAATAAATAAAAGATTTATTGTTATTAAAATTAAATAAAAAAGAAATAGATAAAATTATAAATTATTTAATAAAACTTACTTTATAAGTAAAATGATATTATTCATTAGAGTATAAAGACGAAATAGCCCACTTTAGGGCATCACAAGGTGGTTTAGAATTGTTTTCTATATATAATTAGTCGTTATATTATCTTTTTCTTACCATATTTATATTTTAGATCTTTTCTTTTACTTCATCAGCATGCCTTAAGAGAAGCCGAACCTAATAAAATTTATAAAATTTAAATGAATATATATTGTTATAATACAACATGTTATCATGTCACGAGTCTTTATTTACCCTTTGAGATCTCCATCCTTTATTATATACGTGGATCACATAACTTGATCCTTCTTTTTGAGACAAATGAAATCCATTATTAATTTCTTCTTGTGCTATATAAAAGAAAGTTAAAAAAATTAGTAAAAAAAATGTTTAATTTTTGTCAATAGAAGCACACTAACCTGTTTTTTTATCTGATTCAGATATTTCATCTGAATGAATATTCGAATCATCAATTACTTCTTTTAGATTTTTGATCCAATTATCCCATTCCATTGAAGGATGAGATTGTAAATCTAAGAGTAATTCGTCTTTAGTATCAACTATATTCTGTAATCCCTTTAACGCCTTTCTTTTTTCTTTATTATAAATAAAATAAAAAATATTAGTATTATTATTGCGAACGTAATAAGATTAATAAATTATAAAATATTAGTATTATCGTAAATATAATAATTTCTATTGGATGTCTTAAACAAATGTAAAACTTGTTCTTTGTAAAGACATTCTTAAAATCTTCTGATAAACTACAGAAGTATAACGAAAGATATAAAGATTAATATAATATAATTTAGAATTATCTTTTTAATAAATATATGCCTTAACTGTTTATTCTGATCTAACATATTAATTTCTTTATAGGCACTTGCAGACTCAATGCTATTATTTGTTTCAAATATCCCTAAAGTATTATAAATATTAAAACTGATACTTACATCTTTCCTTTTACTATTTATACCAGTTCTTTGCTTATTTTCTTTTGATTTTAAAGGGTTTAATAAAACAGTATATGCATCTCTTCAGTGACAATGAAGATTCTGTAAAACCTTTTTCAATTCTGTATCAGTATACTGGAATTTATTATCAAGCACCTCTTTATAACTGGAATAATATTTTGTAATATATCTTTTTAATGTCAGTCCAACAACTCTTATGATCAATTTTTAAAGATTCATCTAAACTCTCTAGAATTTGAATGACATTATTCTATAATTGATTAAAAATGTTAAGTATATTTAGTTTATAAACATTAAAAAATGCTTACTTAAATATTAAAATATAAATACAAAATAAAGTTATTATACCAATTCAGAAAGCCTTTTTATATTCACCATTTATCCCTTAAACTGTAGAATA